CTGGATAGATGGATAGCTGGATAGATGGATAGCTGGATAGCTGGATAGATGGATGGAGGGAGAGAGGGATGGATGCATGGCTAGATACATGAATAACTAAATACACTTACTAATGCATAAATATGTGAAGGAAGAAATGCAGAAAAGTGAAGATAGGAACTGGCAATCTAATACTTTCTGATATGCAAAAAATAGTAATAAATATAATTTACCTTCCAGTCAACAGGTGTGGCTACCTTCTTTGTGGCCGTCAACTGAAGGGAGTCGATCACACGAAGAATCTCACTGGAATAAACATGGAAAAACAATAGACATTTTTAACTTGCAAGGAATTCATAAAGGTTAATAAGTTGGTGGGTGGCATAGCTTGGTTAATGTAGTTGCACTATAAAAAAGATACTCCAGAAAATATTGTAACATTGTCTGAAATGAGAAAAACGTACCCCAATAGCTTAAGAAGCCTATTCTAGATTACAAATGTAGTTGTTGGAGCTAATTAAATAATCTATTTAATTTATTATTTATCTATTAATCAAATTAAAATTAATTAATAAATAATCTTCAGTGTCATGATGAATAGAGACTCACTTGAAATTGCGTCCAGTGGTGGCAGGGTACAGAATTGAAAGCTTGAGCTTCTTGTCTGGCCCAATAATGAATACCTTAAAAGTAAATAGAAAAAACTGTCTTTTTGTGTTCTTTGGCTGACTTTCTGCTTCGGCAAATTGTTCCAAAAGACATAAAATAACTGCCATAAACCTCCAATGGGTGGAAGCAGTGCTTTATGTGAGCACACCACTCATACATATCTCATGCATTTTCAGTTGCGTTTTTTTAAAATTTCTATCCATAATAATGGCCATTGTATTTTGTATTTTATAAAAGAAATAAAAAACCTGCCCTGCAAGTGCTGACATGTGCAGTAATAAAACACTAGGGGATTGCCAGAACACTTAAAAAGATGACTAATATTTTAATGGAAAAAGTTAACTAGTATATAGATCTTTTTTTTTTTTTTTTACATTTTTTTAAATCATTTGTCATTTTTATAAATATAACAAAACAAACCAAAAGAAGAACACTAGTAAATCATAGCATATATATAGCTTGTATATAGATCAACTCACAGCTCGGCATGTCAGAGGAAGACCCTTGGCATCCTTTTCATCAGGATCGACCATTCCCAGCTGAACAGCCAACTCTCTCTTGGGATCAGCCAGGATTGAATAAGGAAATCCTTCACCACTATAAGCATTGATGTCCTTGATCCACCCTTTGTGAGACTCGACATCATCACAAGATAGAGCAATCATCTTGACACCACGCTTCTTGAATTCACCTGCGAGTTGTGCCACACGACCAAGCTCTGTTGTGCAGACTGGGGTATAGTCAGCAGGGTGAGAAAACATAATGGCCCACCTTCGAGTGAAAAAAAGTTATAAATAACTTTATGTAATGTTTAATAAACGAGCAGGAGTGTTTTATCGGGTATAAAACACGAGGCGCAGCCGAGTGGTTTTGGACCCGATAAAACACGATCTGCGAGATTATTGAACGGCTTAGAAAACTTATGATGTTTGTTCTCATTGTGTACCGATTTTTTTACGAAATGAACCAAGTTTGATAGAGAAAATCCAAGTTAAAGTTTATGCAAATGAAGACGAATCTATATCAGATATAAAATCACCTTCATGGTCATGATTTCTATTGTGTTTTCTTCATGAATTATTAATGAGTTTTCTAAATTTTATTAGACTTAATGTCTGAGATATAACATGCTTGCTGATTGGTCAGCTACCGTGTTTATATCAGAGAACAGACACATATGCACAAAGCCATTTAAAAATATTTTATAAAAACAATATAAAACACCTGCTTATGTCTTATATACTGTGATATAAACACTCTGGGAGCTGTAGAGCAGTTGAGAAGCAAGAGAATTAACACTCAGCTACCACTCATGTTCTTAAGCTTGCTTCTCTCGTGCTCTATAGCTCCCAGCATGTTCATATCACAGTACAGAGTCGTGCAAATGCATTGTAATTTCTACAGCGACGAATACTGAATACTGCATACTAAATGGGGTATTCAATCAATCAGTCAACTCTATTTATCCAGGGTTAACAGCTCTGTAAACTGATTTTCAGACATGAAATATTTAAATATTTTTATGCACTTTTTAAACCTTAAGTGTCTAATATATATATATATATATATATATTAGTTTTCTTTAATAACAGTTTGGAAGGTTTTTAAATTGCCATGGTAATTTGGCCACATGTGTCTGTGCATGCATTGACCCTCATGTAGTTGAAAGACAATGTCCATGAACAGACCTAACTCAGATATCATGGCTCATCAGATGATGGATATTTGTCATTATTTTTTGGTTCATAATTTAGTAAATTGCTCTGCTGTGAGCTCACAGACCAATTCAAATGCAAGTAAGAATGAGTTGACCTATATACAAGTATATTTCTCAACACTTGTGCAACACAAGTGCTTTATAAATGTACACAGCACAGCAAGCAAGTTTTGTAATTTCTTTTATAAAATACAAATTATGCAACTGTATATATGGATAGAAATGATGCACTGATGAAAGTGTGCATGCTTGTTTTGTATAGTCTCATAAAGCACTCCCAACCAATCAGAATGCAAGATTCATAACAGATAATTTATGAACAACTAATATATACCACCCAAGGACTTGTGTGCTGAGCTGTAGACCATATCTTGAACCGTTTTAGGTTTTTGGGCAGCATATGCAAGCTAGTATTGCTTTACGCCTCACCTTATGTATGCTGCCTCAAATATGTTTATACCATCATTATTGTACAATACAAAAACTTGCGTATATGAATTAAAGTACAGGTAATTGAAATGTTGAAGATTTCATGCATGCCCGCACAGATAATAGTGTATAAACCACACATATATTGTAATATATTCTTTTGTAAAGTAATAATATGTGAGCTATTCTCTAAAATTTCCTAGATTTATCCTTTGAACAAACACTAGTATAGCTGTGTTCAAAAACTTCCAAATCAAAAGAATTGGAAAATCTAGGTATTCCAAATTAACTGTTTATTTTTATGAACTTCATTACATGCAAAATGTTCCAAAATACTCTTTATACACTCTATTCTGTAAACGTATATAGCTAATCCTTTAGCAAAGCTATTCGACATTTCACTTTAGCAAATATAGAATCTTGTTCGCATGTGTAAATAGGCTGCTTTTTCTAAGCAACTTCGTGCAATTATTCAAAGCAACTGAGCTTCCATAACTAAAGGTTTATAGCACATCTCATGCTGTTCATACCATGAATATTGCAGACTATTTTCCTAATTTTATATCAGCTATGCGCATTGTTAAAAAGTTTCAGTGTTATTCCTGGAATACGGATTAAAAATTTTTAGTTTAAAGAGGTTCGAATATTGCACAATATCTGAAAATTATGCATAACTGGTTTATAACTATTACGAAACTATGAATCAAAAATCGAAGTTGTAAATCAAGTAAACTCAATACTTACGTTCCCTCAATGAACTGATGGAACTGAATAGGTCCATCACTGGACTCTGCTTTGAAATCAGGGAAAATATCTCCAAGATTGACCATTTTTGCAAGAGTTTTCGAGAGACAATCACCAGGAACTCAGAACAATGATCGAATGAAGGAGGGAGAGCAGTAGTGGGGCTGGGCTTATGTAGGTTAGAACAACCAATCAGATGGCTCGTTATATGAACTTTTGACCCCTTAGGGAACCCAAATCTCGTATGATTTTACAAATGCATCTACATGTTTTAAAAGTGATAATAGACTGTTTTTGAATTCGAACAAAGATACAGTGTTAGTCTTTTTGCAGCATCAGATGTTTTACCAATCATTTGCCAAAAGCGATGTGAATATCGTATGGTAAGAAAATATATAATTTATATTTCAAACAAATCGTGAACATGCCTTGCCCATTTAATTAACGTAACTCTAGGTTGCTTTTAGTTGTTTTAAAATGACCTATATTTTCTCTTTTCAAATGATACATTTTTTCGTCCCATACATTTACTGTATCACACCGCAAATGTATTGCTTGGGCTGCCTGTGGTCTTCCCCCGCTCGCCTTAGTCTTCCTCGTTTTCACTACAGGATACCCATTCCTTTCGAACAGAAAAAAAAGCCTCGCAGGACACTGTTTATGAGTAAAACAGATTAAAAAATCGAAATGAATACGAAAATGAGGTTTCTTTTTAAGCGTGCCTTAAATATTGGACTCCAACATTCCACATTAAAAACTACATTGTATTAGTATGTTGCATTTGCGCCACTTGAACGAATTTCGCGTCGCAAGTGCATATTCATGGGATAACTTATTCAATCGTGCGATTGTTTGTGCGATGCAAATTACTGGGGGCATCACGCAGAAACAGATGATGCCTTCATGATCAATGACATGTTCACACTTGATTTTAAACTGGATAACAATATACCTTTTACGATCAATTTTATCCAAAAAAGGAATAAAAGTGGCCCGGTTTGGCGTTATTTTGTAAGGGCGCCATTGCATGAATCAAATCGGAAAACTCTAGGTAAATGTCTCATAATGATACTCTATGCCAACCAGCCATTAAAAATTAATAAGCTTTCTGCAATGAGAATGTTGTTTCTGGTAAAGATGAGGAATAATATTAAGATGATCATGATGATCGTAGATTTGGGGTCACAATACAGCTAGTGAGCTCTGCATGGTGCAAATTAAACTGTAAAAAGTTTTTTTATGTTTACTAAAGCACCACGCATGAAAGGTCGAAAAACACTGATATCTATTTTGATAAAATTCACTTTTGGACCATAAAAATTTTCTAATATATCTTTAATTTTATCAGTTGGTTAATTAGTCCTAGTTTTCTCTTCTTTGTGCTTGGTGGTCGGTCCAACTTCATGGCATCAGTCTTTCTTTCATATTCGACATGTCTTATGATAATCAAGACTTGCCACACAACCATACATTTGTTTGTAATTTATAGTGCTTTCAAAAAAAATTACTCGCAAAATAATGAATAAATTACTCTCAAATTTTCAGTAGTTACTAAATAAGACATTCTTTTTCGATTTCTGGAGTCGGTTTGCTCGTAGCTTGAAATTGTTTTTATGCTAATGAGGAAAAAACGTAAACAACTTCGGCCTATAGTTTGCATGACCTTTATATGGACTGCAGACTAAAGAGCTAGGTAAATTTGATTTCCTTGTAAGTATACCTCCATTCTTTTTGTTTTGTTTTGTTTGTTTGTTTTTTGTTTGTTTGTTGTTGTTTTTTTTTTTTTTGCATCTCATTAGAAATTTTCATATACGCCTATGTTGCACGAAGCAATTGCAGTTTATATTTTTCATGCTTCCACTACTCAGCCATTATAACCAAAGATTCCCTGAGGCAAATCCGCAATCCAAGGCCGTACACGATTAACATTTGTATCGAGAATTTTTCATTTCTATTCATATGTAATAATTAATCCCTATTCAACCAAAACCCTGTGGCATCTTAATCATCGTATATTATTCCGTAAAATACATTCCTTACTATACGATGGAACGTAATAAAAGATAAGAACACATTTGTACACAATCGAGAGGAAGTCTGCGCAAAGGCGAACTCAAAATGGAAGTATTATTATTATCATTATTCATAGCATCAATAGCTGGGATAAAAAATGCATGAATCAAATCTGTAAACAACTTTTTTAGACTCAGTTATTTAACAATAACCTTGAGAGCGCATTTTCTAATGCCATCCATTCTCGATTTTGGAAAACAACTTTATTAGAGTGAGCAAGAACAATTAAAGAATTGGCACGCATTGATTCCGCAGTAATTGATTTTTATTTTGCAATGATTTAAAAACAAGTCAGAATGTCATTTGCCTTTTGTCTCAAGATACGCATATGTGCACCCAACTTAAAAACGCACAATGAAACAAATTCAATTTTAACAGTTATAATGACACAAATTTTATGAAAAAAGGACAAAAGTAAACCTATTTGCTGTACCAGAAAGCAATGGCGTTTTGAAATGAAAATCTATTTAGATCCGTTTTAGTAGAACTCTAGGTTTTATGAGTTAGAAGATAGCGCAATAAGGAAATGTACCAGAACAAAAATGTGCGTCCTATTGAAAAGATTTAATGAATGAAAGCCTTGGACTTTAAACTTTAAACTAATTAAACTACTCAGTGATAAAAACATTATTATTCGAGTCAGTGAATCAGAAAATTTTGAGGCTTAGATCACGAAAACCAAGGATATAAAATGACGCTGGCCACTCCTTGTGCTTTAGTTGGCTTGAATCGATCCTGTTGTGAAAATGTCGCCGAAGTTAGCATTGTTGTTACTGCTTGGTTTGTGTGCTCTCGCCTTGGCTGTCCCTGAAGGAGCAGAGCCACAAGCAGATGCCGTTGCCA